CGGGCTTGTCAAAGCAGCACTTAATCTCCATCATCAATCTTGCTTCGATGTACACCCTCGTGAATCTTTAAATAGGGAAGGAAGGACATTTCTCCTTTTTCATTTGCGAATGGAATTGCTTATGGAGCTCGGTGATGGGTGATTTGTGGTTCTCGTCGTCTGCTTTAGTTCTGCATTTCTAAGTTCAATAAGATGTCTTCCTCGTCCTTTCGTTCTTCCTCTTCTTTTGAGTCTTCTAGCTTTAGTTCTTCCTACTATGAGTCTGAGTCGGGGTCCTTTACTGAGGCCGTGGACTTTGAGGGAGTAGATTCTGGGAGATCTACCGAGGCCGAGGAGGCTGAGGTTGGGCCGTCAAGTGTGGAGGTAGAACTTCCTACGCAGGCTAGCTGCCGATTTGGTGCCACCCCTTGCTATTTGACTCCTGGGGATGTTGCTCGGATCCAAGCTTTGTACTGCATTCCTAAGGAGTATTAGTTAAGGTGTCCCCTGCCTGATGAGAGCCCCATAGATGCTCGGCCTGGTGAGCTTTTTGTGTACAAGATTAGTTTGGAGGCTGGGCTAAGGTTCCCTTTGCACGAGGGAATAATCGAGGTGTTCAAGTGGTATCGGGTGATGTTGGTGCAGTTGATGCCAAACTCTCTTTTAGGTTCTTGATCGGCCTTATGTCATACTGCTTCGTCCATGATCTCAAGCTTACCTTGGGAGTGGTGAGCTATTTTCTTCAGTTGAAGCACCACCAATAGGGTTATTACTATTTCTCGGCCAGGCAGTGCATCAAGGTGCTAGTCGGAGCCCCATCCTTAGTGAAGCATTGGAAAGGGGAATTCTTCTTTGTGCGCTATACCGAGGGCTCGCCCCTACCTATCGTGCTCTAGGAGCTGATGACTAAGGTGCCACAACCCAAGTTGCACAGACTGACTGAAGAGGAGAGAGTGGCCATAAGCATGATCAAGGAGGTCAATGTGATGCTATACACCTCTTTCTTGATGCCAATCCACACTAGGCTAATACGCGGAGAGGCCAGTCTATCTTGTTGCTTTAGTTCACTTGTTGATTCCCCCTTTTTTTTGAGTTTATGCTTGTCTTGGCTAACTTTTCACCCTTTGCACAGGTGTCGATATGGCGAGTGAGGAGGAGATTATCCACAGAATGATGGTTAGGCAGTAGAGGCACAGTAGAGGCGCAGCCAAGGTGGTGCAAGGGCCTAGTCCCGTTCTGAAGTGAACCCGCAGAGGTCCGCCGAGAGGGCTAGGCAACGGGGCGATGACGAGGATGTTGTGGTAGTTGACCCAGAGGAGGGTTACCATTCCGCGGTTCCACCTTCTCGCGGGTGGACGTACCTGGGTGTAGTAGATCAACCTTCCACATGCCATAGCGGACTGTCCATCCTAAGGACGGGCTCGAGATGGAGGGCGTGCCCGAGTAGCTTCTCCGCGGGATCATGACTATGGCCATTTAGCAGGAGGCCGCAGGGACAATGAATGGTACCCTGGAGTGCCCACTCCTTCGCCAAGTTGCTTCGATGAGTCCACATTTATTCTTGGGTTCCTATTTGGTTAAAGTTGATCATATTGATGTGGTCTCTTTTGCAGAATGCTTGTTAGACGGTTGTTGTGGTTAACTTCCTCCGAGCATTGTGGCGCCTTTATGACGAGGAGCATACTGAGCTTGTGGGCTTGAGAACTCGGTTAGCTGAATTTGAGGCAGCAGGTGAGCGAACTTCCACGATGGAGGCAGAGATTGCCGAGCTAAAGCAAAAAATTGATGATCAATCCAACACCATTCATAGCCTTAAGAGGTGCATTACTGATCTGAAGGAAGAGTGGGAACGGCTGAAGAGAGGGAGCCTCAAGTTGTTGAGTAGTTCAAGACCTCGGAGGAGTATCAGCACGTGATGGACAGCTTTTCCGCGAGCTCCTTCGAGGCTAGGTTCAACCATTTTAGGAGGAGGGTGTTGTGCCATTGCCCTAACACCGCCAAGGTTGCACAGAATTGGGGCCCCTATGATAGCGTTTCCCCGACTGCCAAGGATGACATCGCCGAGGTCGTGCATGAAGAGAATGTTGGGGGAGAAGAGAACAAAGAGGCCACGGATCCTCCTGCTGAAGATTGAACTGTTGTCCACTGTTGTCACTACTGCCTGTCTAAGCTTTTTGTTTGGTTTAGTTGGTGCCCCTTTTCTTTTATTTTTTTGTTGAAGTGAACACCTCGGTATGCCGAGCTCTAAGACTTGTACAAGATTTTCTATAAATTAATGGACATTTTTAGGCTCTGAGATTGTGAACTTGTGATACTTCCCATCACCTTTTCTTTGTTGTGGGCCTTGATCTTCTCACAACCAAGATTACGTGTAACTAAGATCTTTAGTCCTCGGTTTCTAGCAGAGGTGTTGCCCGAGCTCTCTTTTTTAGAGGGATGCTCAGTTGCTGGTCTCGGGAGCTTTTGGCTCTTGGTGGGCTAGTCGTTCTCTAGCTATCTGTGTTTGACACTTCGTCAATGAGGTATGGAGTGCGGTGACCGCCCTCTGGCCTTGGAAGATGGGAGCGGTCTTCTTCGTTTTAGGCTCTAGCCGTCAATCAACCGAGTCAACTGCTCGGCTATACACTGCTGGGCTAGCTAGTAGCTATGCATTATGGGATCGGGCTGTTACAGATCAGCCGAGTCAATGCGTGGAGGTTCCAATTAACTTGGTTGGATGTTGCGTGTTGTGCGGTGTGTGGTCCAACATGTGTCGTGCTATGTGTGCGGTGTGTGTCGTGCATTTGACAATTCACTTGGTAGAACAAACAATGTCTTTATTGATGTAGAACTATTGATATTACATTCAGAGGTTGCTGGTGTTATAGCTCCTTTGTATAGGTCTTCTGTCGAGGTCTTCTAGCCTATAGGTGTCAGGTCCAACCACTCTGGTGACTCGGTGCGGGTACTGGGTCACCTATCTTGAATTCTCTCCTTCGGACTTTGGTGTCATAGTACTTTGCCATTCCTTGTTGTTGTGCGGCCATCCTGAGGTGTGCTCGTCGATCTCGTGCTTCTTCCACCAAGTTGGGCTTTGCCTGGAGGTCTTCATCGTTCTACTCTTCATCGTAGAACTCAGCCCAAAGAGTTGGTGAGCCTATTTCTACAGGGATCATAGCCTCAGCCCCGTAGGTTAGCCTGAAGGGTATCTCTCCAATAGCTGTCTACGGTGTGGTTTTGTATGCCCAGAGAATGCTCGGCAACTCCTCGACCCACCTTCCCTTAGCCTAGTCAAGCCTGGTCTTTAGGTCGTGCAATAGGGTTCAATTAGTCACTTCGGTCTACCCATTGCTTTGGGGTCGGTGGATAGTTGTAGTCCGATGGTCGATCTTAAGGTCATTGCAGATCACTTCGAACTTCCGATCAATGAACTGCGTACCGTTGTCGGCGATGAGAACCCAGGGGATACCGAATTGGCAAGCAACACCTTGCTAGAAAAAGTTCTGGGCATTATGTGCAGTGATGCGTGCTAGGGGCTCGGCTTTCACCCACTTGGTGAAGTAGTCTACGGCGACTAGAAGGAACCTTTTTTGCTCGACCACGATAGAGAAAGGATCGAGGATGTCCATTCCCCACTGCGCGAAGGGTCATGGGTTGGTGATTGACTTCAGGGGGACCGTTGGCTAGTAATGAAGGTTGGAGTGCCTTTATCATCAGTCACATTTTTTGATGAGCTGGACGGCATCCTGCTTCATGGTTAGCCAGTAGTATCCCTGGTGGAGTGCCTTGTGAGCCAGGGTTCGGGTGCTAGGGTGATCCCTAGAGATTCCTTCGTGTATCTCCCTGAGGATGTAATTGGCCTCAGAAGGGGAGAGGCATTTCAAGTAGGGGAGAATGTGAGACCGGTGATAGAGTTTTCCCTAGATGAGGCAATATCTTCGGGCAACTTACCATCCTGTAGGTACTACACTATGGGAACCATCTAAGATGAGCCTTGCTGCATGGGAAGGATGAGGAGCGCCATCGGAGCAATGCTCGGTTGGGCAAGGACATCAACCCAGACTGTTACATCGAGGTCGGTCCACGATGAACTTGCCAGCTTGGAGAGTGCATATGCTCGGACGTTCTCAGCTCGAGGGATCTATTGGATAGTGAAGTGGTCGAGCTGTTGAACAAGCTCCTGTACCTTTTGTAAGTAACTTGCCATTGTCGGGGTTCGCATTTCGAACTGGCTATGGAACTGGTTGACCACCAACTGGGAGTCACTAAAGGCTTCTACATGTTGCGCATTGAGGTCTAGGGCTAGTCGGAGTCCAGCAATCAAAGCCTCGTACTCCACTTACATTGTTGGAGGCCTTGAACTTGAACCTTAAGGCATGCTCGAGCACTATGTCTTCTTGCCTGAAGAGAATGAGGCCAGCCCTGCTTCCCTACTTGTTCGATGAACCGTCCACATGGAGAGTCCATATTTGCAGTGTCGGGGCTAGGTCCTATATTGTGAACGTGCACTCTGCTAAGAAATCGACAAGGGCTTGGGCCTTGATGGCAGGCCGCAGAGCGTACTCTATGTTGAACTAACTCAATTCCATACTCCACTTGATTAGGCGGCCAGATGCTTCCAGTCTCTATAATACTTGTCTAAGGGGCTGGTCGGTAAGCACGTGGATGTTGTGGACTAGGAAATATGGCATGAGCTTCCTTGCCACGGTGATTAGGGCTAGGGCAGCTTTTTCCAAGTTCAAGTGTCGAGTTTCCATGCCGTTGAGGACTTTGCTTATGTAGTAGATTGGCCTTTGCGTTCGGTCCTCTTCTTTAATCAATACTGAGTTGACCACCTCGTCACCAGCCGAGAGGTAGAATAGCAGCTCGTCCCCAGGGCTCGGCTTAGTGAGGAAAGGTGGTGAGCTTAAGAACCTCTTCAACTCCTGGAAGGACTGCTCGCACTCCTCGATCCACTGGAAGTCTTTGACCGTTTTCAAGGCCTTGAAAAAGGGCAAGCACCGGTCTACAGACTTTGACATGAATCTGCTAAGGGCAGCTACCCGCCCATTAAGGTGTTGTACTTCCTAAGGGTGCCAAAGACTCTCCTGAGATCAGCTAGATGGTGTTCAACCTTCTTGCTTTTCACAAGCATGTCATCAACGTACTCTCCAACGTTGCGGCCGAGCTGGTCCTTGAACACCTCATTCACCAGCCACTGATAAGTAGCACCGACGTTCTTGAGGCCAAAGGGCATTGCCTTGTAGCAGTATAGTCTGCAGTCAGTGATGAAAGCGGTCTTCTCCAGATCGTCGGGATGTATTCGTATCTAATTGTACCCTGAGAACGCATCCATAAAGCTTAGGTGTCTGTGCCCCGCTGTTGCGTCAACGAGCTGATCAATCCTCGGTAGGGGGAAGTTGTCTTTGGGACAGGCTTTGTTGAGGTCTGTGAAGTCAATACAGATCCTCCACTTCCCATTCGCTTTATTCACCATCACCACGTTGGCCAGCCAGCCCAGGTACTTTACTTCCCGAATAAAGCTGGCGTCGAGTAGCTTCTGGACTTCCTCATTGATAATTTGCCACAATTCTATGGTGAAGCTCCTCTTCTTCTGACTGATTGGTCGGTAGCGCGGGCCAACATTGAGACGGTGAGTGATGATCTTGGGGTCAATTCCTGGCATGTCTACCGCAACCATGCAAACACATCAGCATGCTCCCTGAGAAGATAGATGAGGTCTTCATGCAGGTGGTCGTCCAGGAGAGAGCCGACCTAAACTATCTTCTAAGGGTCTTTCTCGAAGAGCGGCACTTGGATGAAGTCTTTGATAGGTTGGCTGTGTTGTGTTCTCAGCTCGGGCCACTCCCACTCCATATGGAGTCGTGAATTTCATGGCCAAGTGGAAAGTAAACATAGAGGCTCGCAGAGCATTCAGAGTTGGTCGGCCAAGGATGGCATTGTAGGATGACAAGCATCGAACGACAATAAAGTCTACCATGATTATTGAGGTGATCTGACCATCGTCAATTAATAAAGGTAGAGTGATTCTTCCTATTGGCATAAGCGACTCCCCGGAGGAGCCCATCAAGGGAGTGTTGACTGGTGTCAACCGATCTCTGCTGATGCTGAGCTGGTCAAACGCGTCTTCGAACAAGTCATTGGCTAAGCTCCCATTGTCTACCAAGATGTGCCGAACTTCATAGCTTGTGATTTTGATGGTGATCACTAGGGCATCATCCTATGGGGTTTGGACCCCCTTGAGGTCATCTTCGGTGAACGTGACTGGCTCTTCTTGTCTCTTCTTTGGCTCCCTGTTGTTGATTTCCATCAAGTGGGCATACCTCTTCCTGCCCGAGCTGCTCTCCCCTCCAGAAGTCATTCCTCCCGAGATCACTGCGATAAGTCCAACTAGGGGAGTTTGGCCCGAGGGCCTGGGGCACGGCTTTTCCTTAGGAGGGTTGTCTTCTTTTATGTCAACAAATCCCACCAAGTAGTCACACCTGATCAAGTCTTCGAGCTGGTGCTTGAGATCGAGACAGTTGTCCATCTCATGGCTATGGTTCCAATGAAAGTCACAGTACTTGTCACAATTTCTATTGTTGGATTGGGTCTTCATCTTCTCGGGCCATCAGACATACTTGTTGTCTCGGATTTGCATCAGAATCTCAAACTGTGGAGCAGTTAGCGGCGTGAAATTCAGAAAGGTCGGAAGCGGTGTGCGCGGCCTCCTCTCTGGTCAGCAGTCTTGCTGCTTATTATCTCGGTCCCTCTCCATCTTACGGTCTTCGGTGTCCCTTCTCTTCTTGTCAGGCCGCTCCTCCTCATCTCTTAACTATGCCTGGGCTTCTTCTACATTGATGTACTTTTGGGTGTGGCTCATTAACATGGCTAGTGTTTGAGGATGATTCTTTGATATGGAGAAGTTGAACGGTGAGGGGCGAGGTTTGTATTGTATGGCTATAACAGCTACAGACTCGTTCAGGTTCCGGACCTACAGTGCTTCAGTGTTGAATCTCGCTAGGTAGTCTCTAAGAGATTTTGTCTTCTTCTACCGCACCTGCATGAGGCTAGCCGAAGTCTTCCAGTGTTTCTGGCTCTCCAACTGCTTCCATGATGCTATGGAGCGTGGGGGAAGAGACAAGTACCAAGTCAGGGCCGGGCCTTTGAGGGTGGCCACGAAAAGTTTTCACATCAAGCCCTCAGACAAACCATGCAACATCATTTGGGCCTTGAGTGCTTTAATGTGATCATCGGGATTGGTATTCCCGTCGCACTTGTCGCACTGTGGTGCCTGCCATCCTGCAGGGGGAATCTCATCCACAATCTCTTGGACAAAGGGTGGCTCTTAAATGGGCAGGGCAGTTGGTTGCACGGGCTGATCTATAGGCGGTGTTGCGCTCCTCTAGGCTTGGCTGCACTCCAACTCAGTCAAGCATTATCGGAGCTCCTGGATCTTTGTGTCCCTAATCCCTATCATCTGGGACCGTAGTGTGCATGGCTTTCTCTTTCTTGGGCCGCGCTGGGCCATCTTTAACCAAACTAGACTCGGCAACAAAGACCACCTAGGGCGGCATCCGTTTGCCGAGCCTTTCTTTGGCCAAGATTCGCGAGAGCGAGCATAGGAGATGGACCTTCTTGTCGTGTCTTTCTTTTCTTGATCGGACCGCGCTCTGTTCTTATCCGACCAACACGTTTTGGGGTCCTCAGGGCGAGGATCGACCTTCGTATGTGTCAGGGCAACAGGGGGGACAGTTTGAGTGGGCAATGCCGTAGACCCCAGCAACTGCATCATTGCCAAGATTTTGTCGACCCTTTCTTGCATCGCCTAGAACGGAACGGGGTTGACCGTGGCTTGTGGCTGCTGAGTTTCTTAGTGTGGGGGGCTGCAACAGCGAGATTCCCGAGATGGGTATTGGCTTGTTGAATGCTCAGAGTTTTTCTTGGCATCTTGATCACTTCTTGACTGCGCGGTGAGAGAGATTTAGGAAAGGCTTTTTGTGCATTTCCCATAGATGGTGCCAATCTGATGTTGCTTGATCCTAGGTAGTGCAAGAACCGAGGTCACAGTTAGATAATCATTGCCAACAGGGCAGAGCCGAGGTGGAAGGACAAAGCCACGCAATGAGATCTGCAAACAAGAAAATGTTAGAGGCCAATGAGTTGTCCCCAGGTAGATACTCCGACGCTCAAGTCAGTAGATGGCAGTAGGTAATCGAGCCAAGCAGTTAGAGAGTAGTGCTAGTCTGAGTAGTATATCAGTATGAGAACTAGAGGTTGGATTTCTTACCTCAAGTGGGGAGTACCTTTTTATAGCCGAAGTTTCGTGTCCTTATTGGATTAGGCTTCTGGGGTTATCGAGACGAGGTTAACTGCCGAGGTCTTCGAGATGAGTCCTAATCCCCAACGGAGTTATACCCATTCTCTCTCCTATTCTTGGTCGTGCTTATCCGCAAGACATGGAGTCAACGTGGCTGAGAGGATAAGGTGGGGGCTATGGAAGTAGCATAGCATTGTCGTGGCCGTAGAATCGATTCATGTTGCAGATGGTAGCGCAGCGCCAGCATGGCTGAGGTGATTGGGCGGCCACGTGGCACCCAGAGCAAGCTCAACCATGACCCGAACAAGCCCATTATAGTGCATATTGCAAATGATTGCATCAAGTCACTAAAAGAAATAAAACAAATTGGAAACTCTAGAGCTTGATGTCTTCTTACTCATGGTAGCATAGCTTCTTGTTTGGAGAGAATTCAATCCATCATTTAATATAGTTTCTCCTCTATGCCTCATATCATCAATTATCTCAAAGAATTTGTCATCAAGTTTCTCCATTTCAACTGAGGAAATATTTTATACAACTGCACACTTATTTTCACAACATTACTACTCTCAATAAGTTTGTTATCATCAAGACACATAGGGCCAACAATATTTATGGAGAAAATAGAGGAGAAACCCCTATTATCTTCTTCTTCATTTATAAAATTTGAATACCACAAAATTTTAAAACCAAGACCATAAAGTGGAAAAAGAAAACAAAAACTTACAAATAAAAAGCAAACAAACTAATGAGTAATGATATTTTTCTTTCAAGAAAATACATGATAGTTGTAAGTGATGTGTTGGAAAATATTTCTGTAATAATAATAATATATAGAAAACCTAAAGTGCAATCGATCAAAACAACGGCAAAATAATAATCGATTTAAAACCAGATTAGTAGAAATAATACACATAGGGTAAAAGACAAACTAAGAGTATCAACCAATGGAGCATATGTGAGTAAAGTTATCAAATAAGCTAAGGCATGGCTAATATTGTTGTCTTCAAAGTTGATTTTGGCCCTCTAGGTGCAAAGGTTTCCAACACTCGGTCTCCAAGATACAATAGCTCTCATCTTTGGAGAGGTGTGCACTCACAGCCCAAAATATTGAACCAAAATACTATGCCTACCTAAGACGTAGGAAACTATGTAGCAGTAAAAATCAATGTAAAACTATTAGAAGCCAATGAGTGAACCAGAAGAAAAGAGCATAATAAATAGGAGCTGCCATAGGGCTGTTCATAACAAGACCCAAACTGACCAAATCAATCAATCTGGTCCGATCCAATTCGAGTTGGCTGGTTTTTCTTTATCACCGGTTGGTTTCGGGTTACAAAAAAACATAAACCGATGGTTCGGTTCAGTTTCAGTTTTCATGTGTGAAAACCAAAATCGAACCGACCCGAACTAACTTAGATATTATATATATATATATATTTAATATATATTTGTGGAAATATATATATTTCAGCTTTATTTCAGAAATATACATATTATATATAAAATTTCTGATATATAAAATATCAGTTTTAATCCATCAAATCATTTTTAATTTCCAGGCATCCAACTTTTACTTTCTTAAACTTGAATCCTTTACCATTCATACCAAGATAATCATTCACAAAACCGACCCAAACCAACCCAAACCGATTCAAACCGACCAAGTCAGTTTTACTTAGTACTGGGTCAGTTTCAATTTCATTTCTAGGTAAACTGACCAGATCGTGTCAGTTGGAAAAACGCCAATAAATCGACCCAACCCAACCCGTGAACAGCCCTAGTTGCCACAAAACATTGAGAAACGATCATCCTCTCCATGACCACTCTGCTCCCACTGCTCTTGCAAAGGTCTACTCTCTCACCTAAACCCACATAGCTTGCCTTTCACACTACTACAAATTAAATAGAGAGGCTTTAAAGTAAGGAAAATAGCA